CGCGATGGAGAAGGCTGAGCCACGCAAACATCCCGCGACGCAGGCAGTTTTCGCTACAGCTGCTGCGCTCAAAGTCCGGCTGCTGCAGCGAAGGCCGGGTGAAGATGCAGTGCTCCCTATACACCTGAGGGAACCACCGCTCAGAGCGATGCTCCAGAAGACAAGTGTACGGGTCCGATTCCCCCTCGCAGGTGCCTTCGTGTCTGCAACGGCAAACAGCAACACCAACAACAGCAGCAGCAGCAGTGACGTTCCCAGGCAGCAAGAATCATACACAGCGACGCCCCCACACTGCCGGCTGGAGTGCAACTACAATAGAAATTCACTAGGCGCATGCCTACGTCTGCTGCTTAGTGCACAACAAGCCCAGGTACAAGCAACTGAAGGCGGAGAAGCCAATCGGGAAGCAGAGTGCCAGTAGGACACATGACGATATAGAGGGACAGTTGGAGGCAGAAGCAGACAGGTATGTATTTGGTGATAAGAGGGGATGGAGAGGAATTGAGAAACGCATTAAACACTCTGCACGCGGAAGAGAGAAGAACTGAGGTGCGCACGCAGAAGGTGAGGCTGAGACTGTGGTCTGCGGTGCATACGGACTTGTGCAAGAGGGCGCGGCACAGACTGCGGCAGTTAGNAGGCTGAGACTGTGGTCTGCGGTGCATACGGACTTGTGCAAGAGGGCGCGGCACAGACTGCGGCAGTTAGGTGCCTCTTCTGGGTTGACAGTGACGGTTTCGTCTGCAGTGACATGTCCATACACCGCACTGCCGCAGTGTATAATCTGGGGCTTTCCTTCCCCCTTTGCCTTCGTCAGCGCCCAGGCCTTCTTCCGTTCCTCTATTATTTCCAGGAGAGAAAAAACACCGTCCCCACCCTCTGCAGACACTCAAAGGCCATCCTCAACTAGTTCATCACTAACAAGAACCCCATTTTCTATATTTTCTATTGTACCGTCGAAATGAGTCCTATTGTATCGCTATCTTTACTGAGGTGAATGCGCTGCGCCTGACACTGAACGGACAAAACCCCTAAAAACAGGAGGCCTCTTCTGCTGCCCAAACATCGCATAACGCCTAGGCAAAGGGAGCGAGTCGAACTCTGCAGCTTATACGGGCCCTGAGCAGCATCTATAGCAGTAAGCGCCACCCCCCGGCCCTGCGAAGAGCCAACCCTAGGAAACAGTAGGGGGTTGGTTGGAGCATGCCTCACCTTCAAATACTGGCCGGAGGTTTTCTTCGCTGCCATTTGAGCCTTCTTTGACAGTAGAGAGAGATATGGGGCCTCGCTGTTCTGCGTAGCCAGGCGAAAAGCTGTGGAGAAGGCCAATTAAGAAGCAACAATAGAGTAGCAGGCGGCGCTTGCAGCCCCAAGCCATCGGCCTGGGCGGCTTATCAAAGCCGTAAGAATGACGGGAAATCAATGCAGGTCCCCTACTAGTGGCTGCTGCTTCTGTTCGAGGACTCGGCGTTGACGAGGAATCTGCATCAGCAGCAGATGCCGCACCCCGTGCTGCAGTCGCAGCAGCAACGCTTCTACTGCATGGCGCATCTGAGAAGGAGGCATTGCAGGGCTGCTCATGCAGGTTCGCCTTCCATGGGGACCTGCGGCGAGACGCGCCCGAAACACTACAAACTGTGGAGAGCGCCATAATCAGCAGCAGTTCTGGCTGCGTGTGGCGCAGCCACGAGCGGGGTCGCACTGCAGTGAAACAGGTAATTTGACAAGAGGAATTGACATGCAGCGTCAAGAAGAAAACACGAAGAGCCGTTGGCCATCCCACGCATGCATTGCTCCCTACGGGTTGCTCCCATAGACCGGGCAGTGGCGCTGGCGCCCTGTGCAGGTGTGTGCGTAGGAAAGACGAAACNAGGAGGCGGGCCGCCGATTAGACAGGACACCCGGTGGTCCGGGCGAGCTAGTTGACTGCGAAAAGGCTCAATTGCAGCGAGTTCGTTCAGGTTCGCTGCTTCCCCTGCCTCTGCAGTATCAAAAGGAAAGCAAAGTTTTCTTTGGAGATGGAGTTGAAATAGACTCAAACGGGGACGAAATTATGCACAAGGACCCAAACTGCATGCAAAGGCCGTATGGGTGATCGCAGCTGCATGACCACTCTAAAGCTCATGCGTCCGTCATGTTCAATAGATATTGGCAAGACGCAACAAAGACAAGCCAATGAAGTAGGAAAAATAATCAACCAATTCCCAGTTTTGAACCAGAAAATGTGCTCGAGGGAACGTATATCGCCTAACCCCGTGACGCTGCTTACGATTCACACCACGGGCTACAGAGGGAAAACTCCCGCTAAACCTGGAAAAAAGCAGTCCCTTTGAAACGAGAAGAATTAATGGACTTTAGTAATCCTGAAATTACGGCTTGGCGAATATCTCGTTCATTATTCTTCCGGCTCGAGCACAAGGCTTTCCAAGCACTGGAGTGCTGATGTAGTGCACAGGCACTACAATGGATCTCCTGTGCAGGCTCTAGAGGCCTAACACCACGAAAAGGAATAATTATAGCGAATATATCTAGGATTAGGACACCTCATTGTAGAAAAGAAGCATAATAAGGTCAATGTGCTCACCAGCTCACACCCGCTATGGGACTTGGGTGTGAGGCCGAGGCTGTGACTCAGATGCCGACTGTAACATGAGTTAGCGCAGAGTTAGCTCAGGAGCCTATCGACAGCTTTGGCATGCTGCGCGTAAGCG